TTATTATTATTATTATTATTATTATTATTATTATTATTATTATTATTATTATTATTGTTATTATTGTTATTATTGTTATTATTATTATTATTATTTTTATTATTAATCATAATAATAAAAAAAGATAGTTATTATTTTTAGCCGACGTATCTGATCCAATTTTTGAAGAAATAATTTATTATTATTATTATTATTATTATTATTATTATTATTATTATTATTAATATTATTATTCTAAAATTGACATCATTAATTGTTTTCAAGAATTTCTTTACCTATTTTACATTACACTTAAAAAGTTTCAATAACTTGTTACATAATTTAGATTATTGTGTGTAAAGACGAAAATTATTACGCATTAGCAATAAAAAGTTTGTTTTTTTATTGTAATTATATTTTGTAAGAGTTACGATGGAGTTTTATAAACACTACGAGTTAGTATCGATGCAATAAAAGTTTTTGACTATTTAAAAACCGGAATAAATAATAAATGGATTTTATTAACCGGCGCCGGGAATCGAACCCTGTCCTTCTTACGCAGTAAAAAATTTAAAAAACTAAAAGCTACATCAACATTTGATTGAAAAGCTCTGGTTAGTTGTATATTTTCCCATAATTTTCTGGTTAAAGTAAAATTAAAAAAAAAGCGAGCTTAATTAGACCTTACATTACAATGAAGCATAGAAAAAAAAGTATCTCGAGTTTGTATAAATATTTAAGAATTAAAATAAAATATCGAGAGTGAAAATAAAATTTATTAACGTAATATAAATTAATAAGTGTTAAAGTACACAATAAATAGTATTTTTAAAATAAGTATTTTAAAAAGTTTGTTTTTTTAATAGCCTGCCTTTTCTTCAGAGAAACTCTACATCCTGGTAGAAGTATACTACCGCGCCACCTTCTGGTGATTTCGAACAATAGTCCAGAGTAAAATAGTACAAGTGTAATAAGCTCGGCTGTATTTACTCCTCAAATAAATTTAAACTGTAAGGCTGATCGACGGGTAGATAATTCGGTCTAACTAAAGTCCGAAATATATTAATTGTAATTAAACGAAACAATATTGAGGCAAGATTTTCAATAGATCTCTCCGTAGTGATCATACGAAGAGATAGAAACAAAAATCCCGGTAAAAAAATGGTGTTTTTCAGAAGTTATCGTGTTTACACCCCCAGTAATTCTTCTAAAATTCATCTAGTGACTCATTTTAAACAGTTATATCATATAAAAATTTTAAAAATTTTTTTACTGCGTAAGATTGTAATAATTGAATAAATAAAAGGAAAAATTGAACATTAAGGTATCAGCAGTATAAAAAATTACACGAGGAGCTCTTTAAGGGAGAGATCCTCGTCAAGCAAATCCTACAAATAGTCATCCAGACGATTGGTCTTTTCGTCTGGAGGACTGGGCTCGCTTACACTGAGAATCGGTAGACCAAAGTGCTGGATTTCAACGCTCGAAACGGAGGTTTGTCTTGACTGATCGCTATCCGACGACCTGTGATAAACGACGGGATTCCCGTTACTGGTTGATGGTTTGTAGGGTAAGTGGTGGTGGTGGTGGTGATGGTGGTGGTACGGTTGAGACGGCCGAGGAAAATCTGGCTCACACGATCTTCTGAAATATCTGCAATTTTATTTATAATAATAATAATAATAATTTATAGATATTTTCCTGAAGTAAGTCATTGAAATTTTCAGTTTATTGGTTATTAAAAAAAATAAAATAATAATAATAATAATAATAATAATAATAATAATAATAATAATAATAATAATAAAATATATCTTCTTGGGAATTTAAATGTGTAATTTTAGGATCATATGTTGCGTGCCGGAGGTAAAAGCGGAATTTTTTAGTGATAAATATAAAATTTAAACCTGTCGTCGATGGAAGAGGGCTGTCTGATAGGACATCTAACGTACTCATGACTTCCGCTGATTCGCCAACCGCTAAAGCGTCTTACTATTAGAGATGGGGATGGTATACTTGTGGTGGTTATCGTGCTCGATGAAATGTATTCCCTGCAATAAAAGGGATTTTTATTGTTAGGATAAAAATGTAAAGTGTGTATTTGTATTTTTATCATAAATATGAAGAAGGAATGTTTTTTTTTATTATTGTGGGTGATATAAAATTCAAGGTCGTAGGTTGTTTGATTCTGTCGATTTGAATAATGATATGAATAAAATTAATCTATATTATTCAGAGAGTAAGAAAAATTTTGTATCCAGGATAGTTATATAGATACATAATTGAGAAATGACCTTGTATCTTGTGAACTATTGACATTTTTAAAGATATAAGCTCATCTTGATATTACACTCATCGAGACCTTTCATCTGAGTAGCCACATGCATTTTTGATATATTTTTCATATATACATATATATAATATATATAAATATATAAAATATATGAAAAATTGATGTGGGTACTTAAATGATAGGTCTCGATGAGTGTAACATCGAAATGAGTTTATATCTTAAAGAATGTCAATAATTAAGAAATTATATTGTATCGTGTCAACTATTGACATTTTTGAAAATATAAGCTCATCTCGAGGTTACACTCATCGAGACCTTTCATTTAA